TCTCACTTTTTCCATTGTCAGTAAACCCCAGCCAAGAGTTAAAGTTGGCGAATTAATAATGGAGGTCCCCGACACATTACACGGCTTTCAAGAGGAATGGTTGTGGGTCGGCGGAGACTGGCAGTGCCCCGACTTTGCTAATGATCTTCTTGCCGATGGGACAAGTATCCAAACGGCTATTAAATCTGGTTATTGTAAGTAGTTCACCATTTTCTTCACTTCGGTTATTAATATCTTGTTTTTTGTTTCCGCTAACAGGTGGACTTTTGTGACCTTGTAGCAAAACCAACGGGAAAGAGAGAACCCAAGTTCGAAGGTTTGCTGTACGATCGAGTGGACAAGTTATTCGAAATCTCTCACAATAAACGACGATACCAACGACTCGCGAAAGATTCTCGATTAGAGCTAGCTGGTTTATCTCCCGGGATACTTGATTCTTCGTTTCAACCAGGTAATTTTCTCGCTTATTTTGTTTTATCGTTCGCATTGATGAGGTCGGTCTAACTTTAAATTCTTTGTAACAGTCTATTATCCATTGCTGGGATACTTCGGTTTTGGAGATCCCGTAGCGGCAGAAGAACATCGGAGGCGTAATCCGAATTTTGATTTGAAGAACAACGTCGGAAAAAACAAAAACCTTCGATCAACAGAGATGGTTGGACGCATGAACCTCCTGAAGGCATGGAAAAAGAACCCCAACCGTTCTCAAAGTGTTGTTGGTGAACCATCGTCAACAAGGGTGGAACCGACACCGGCGATTGTAAGTGAGCCGTTAGTTACCGACGTCCCGCCACTTAACGTCGCCCCAATTCAACAAGTGATGACGCCGGTAGATGAACCTACTGTAGTAACCGACATCTCACGGGAGGTGTCGGAAGAGCCGCTTTTGAACGTAGTCCAACGTCGCAAGAGATCCAGCGTGTCTCACGTGGCCGAGAGGATGAGGAAGAAGCCAAACATCGATGCCGGCAAAGATAAGGAGGAAGAAGAACCTGAGGTCATCCTGAGGGATTCTTTCCTCAAAGTTAATGAGAAGAAAGCGGCGGAGCTGACGCTGCCGGAGGGCGTGTTCGACCCTTGGTTTTCAATGTTTCAGACGGTCGTCGAGCCAAAAATTACGAACAATCAGCGGTTTCCCGATGAAGCGGTTAAGGCGGCGAAAGTCCCTTTGATGTCGTGGGACCCGAAGACTCACGCCGGAATTGCATCTCTGCCTGACGATCAAAAGTTCAGCTATGCCCGAGGTTGCTTAGGACGGGCGCTGGTTAGCTTTATTGCTGCCGAAGAAAGCTACCGGGGTAGAGTGCATGAATTAGATGAGAAGCAGCACGAGCTGAGCTTGAAGGAAGGTGCAATTGCTTCCTTAGAGGATGAGAAATCTCGCTATGAAGCGCTGATGTCAGAGAAGGATACCCAGCTGAAAATAGCACAAACCGAGGTGGGCGCTCTTAAGACTGAGAGGGAGAATCTATTATTGGCTCACGATCTCTTGTCGGTTCAGCTGGCTAAAATTGAAGAAACGGCCAGAGAAAAAGATGAGCAACTCATGAGGCTAAGGGCTGAGCTCCAAGCTGTCCGCAAGGACCGATCTGAAAAGGACGCCGAACTAATCCGATGTCGGGAGGCCCATGAGACTGCTATGAGCAAACTCCGTCAGGAGATAATAGTTGCAGCCGAACTCAAATTTCAGGAGGGTGTGGACGTCAGTAAGAAGGCTGTGACAGAATCCGACAAGACGTCGAGTGCAGATACGGTAACCGAGTGGGATTTAGAGCTAAACGCTGCACTAACGTTGCGTTGGGTGATCGACAGGGTGGAAAGCGGCATTTACACCATTGATGAGCTGTGTATCTTCCTCCTACATAAGATGGAGAAACATGGTCTCAATCCTGAGATGAAGAGTGCCCATATCCCAGCAGATCAAGATGAGCGGGATTTTGCCGACCGACTTCTAAAGCAGAAGGAAAGTCAGATGCTGGAGTTGGATATGGTGCCTTTGTCGGAGGAACGCAAAGCCAAAATTCGTCGGGCGTTCGTTGATATGGTCCTTGAGGTGGAAAAGGTCAAGAAACCCGAAATGGCAAATATATGTGTGGAGACAATTGCCGAGGCCTTTGTCGTCGAGACACTCGAAGGATTATCTGGTGAAGAACTCCTGGGAGCAATTACCAGCTTCGCCCTACGAAAGGTGGCAGAGGACGATGCCAAGGCCAAAGGATGGGTGGTTGAACCAGTCCCCTCCGACGACGATCGCGTTTTGCATGAGGATGATGATGTCATCATCATAAAAGAGAGTGATGTCGTCAGAGCACTGGAGGAAAAGGAAGAAGAGGTGATTCAACGCTTAAGCCAGAGGTTGATAGATCATCTAGATGCTGCAGATAAAGGGAAAGCTGACGCCGGGAATCTTCAATTTTCAACAACAGGAGGGGCGTCGTCATCGGGGACGAACAAAGACGAATGAGATCCCATATTAGTTGTTTGTTTTTATTTTCTTTTTCGTATTTTGAATGTAATGACGATTTCTCATTATGAATGAAATTTAATGTTTTAATTTAATTTCGTATTTTATGAATGTATTGTTTTGACATTTATTGTACCAAGTCAAAACATGTCAGAGAAGATAAACGAACGTTTAATGGATCATGCTCGTAATTACTCCAACGTGATACTTAATACTTACACTCTGCCTTGTTTTGCGTTTGTTTAAATTTTTGGTGTCGGCACAATTTATAGTATATCCGACATCTGCAGACTCTTTATCAGGACAAGTCATAAAAGACTTGCTCATTATTGCAAAGATTTATTGTAAGCTCATCAAATCAACGTCGGGATTTGATATTATAGAGCATAAGCCTCCCCAAACCAACTTCAGGGCTTGGAAGTATCCGGCTTTGTCGCGTTTGGCTAGGTCATACCAACTTCAGGGTATGAAACACGTTAAGCCTTAGCAACGAGGACCGATTTATTGTGGTCCGAGTGATCGAACAAATTATAGAGGTTCGTCACACAAAACTTTATTGATAGCAAAATGTGGTTCTTGTACATGAGTAGGACAAAAACTTTTTACACGTCAGGGATAGAACTTTGGCCTTCAAGTTTACTGGTAGTACTTCTTCAGATAGGTTGTGTGCCAGGGATACTTAAGGGGAACACCATCTAGAGTTTCAAGTCGGTAGGTACCATTAGAAATCAGACGATTTACTTTAAAGGGTCCTTCCCACTTTGGTTGTAACGGGCCGACATTGGCCCCAGTGACTCTTTTCAGTACAAAGTCTCCTTTGACAAATGAACGCGGCTTGAGTTTGGAATTGATGTACTTTTCACTACGTCGTTTATAAGCGGCATTTCGAGTTTCAGCATCAGCCCGTAACTCATCGACCAAATCAAGACTGGCTTTCAGGTTTGCTGAGTTGGTTTCTTCAGAGAAATGAGTAACCCGATATGTCGGAGAAGTAAGTTCAACCGGTATCATAGCTTCAGTCTCGTATTCTAACGAAAATGGAGTTTCTCCAATCGAGTTTCTTGTCGTCGTCCGGTAAGACCAAAGGACATAAGGCAACTCATCAGGCCATGATCCCTTTGCAGCCTCGAGCCGAGTTTTCAGACCATTCTTGATAATCCTATTTACGGCTTCTATCTGTCCATTAGCCTGTGGATGATAAGGTGATGAAAAGAAGTGCTTGATGCCATAATCTTCACAAAATCTTTCAAATCGTTTCCCTTCAAACTGACGACCGTTGTCGGTTATGATGGAGTTCGGTATTCCAAACCGACAAACAATTGATTTCCATACAAAATCGATCATCTTTTGTTCCGTGATGGTTGCAAGAGGCTCAACCTCAACCCATTTAGTGAAGTAGTCAGCAGCTAATATTGCAAACCGAACACCCCCTTTTGCTGTTGGAAGTGGGCCGATCAAATCAATTCCTCATTTTGCAAACGGCCATGGACTATATATTGACTTGAGAAGTTCAGGATGTTGATTAACGTTAGGAGTAAATATCTGACACTTGTGACATTTTCGCACCCAGTCTGCGGCATCTTTCCTGATAGTCGGCCAGTAGTAGCCCTGTCGGAGAATCTTGTGGGATAAAGCTTGAGCTCCTTGGTGGGTACCGCAGACTCCTTCGTGTACTTCTTGAAGAACCCGTTGGGCATCTATCTCTGACAAACACTTAAGCAATGGAATAGAGTATCCACGCTTATATAACGTTCCCTGATTAATAGTGAAATGAGCAGCACGAACACGAAGAGTACGAGCTTCTTTTGGGTCTTCAGGTATGGCCCCGGTTTGAAGATAGTCGAGGATTGGATCTATCCACGTCGGACCTGAGGTTGGTGAAGCAGCGTCAATCATGACGATGTCGGTAGAGACTGTTGATGAGTTCGCCTGTTGAGCAATTTGCACGAACTCGACATTATTCAAATCGGTCGATGAGGCCAAACGTGGAAGAGCATCTGCCTGAATATTGGATGACCGAGGTATATGTTCCAACGTCATTTTGAACCGTGACAGTTTCTTCTTTGCGAGATCAAAATAAGGAACCAACCGTGGTTCTTTAACTTCATACACGCCATTAATATGGCTGACTAGTAACTGGGAATCGGAAAATATTCGGAGGGAGGAAACATTCATGGATTCGGCAAAGCGTAGGCCTGATAAGAGGGCCTCATATTCGGCTTCATTATTGGTGGCCGGGAAAGTGAATGCTACATAGTAACAAAACACTTGTTGATCAGGACTAACTAAGACAATCCCTCCTCCAGCTCGTATAGTGGTGGACGATCCATCGATGTAAAGAGTCCATGTTGGATCTTCAATGGATGCACTGACAAGTGGAGTAAATTCAGCAATGAAGTCAGATAATACTTGAGCTTTGATAGCAGTTCGTGGTCGGTACTGAATATCAAATTGTCCCAGTTCTATCGCCCACTTAATCATTCTTCCCGACGTGTCAGGTCGGTGAAGGACTTGTCGGAGAGGGTATGTTGTAAACAATTGAATGTTCCAGAAAATATGGGCGCAGCTTCCGTGCAGCGATGATCAGAGCAAAGGCTAACTTCTCCATATATAGATATCGCAATTCAGCGTCATGTAAGGCCTTGCTAACGTAATATATCGGGAACTGTTGAGGCCCATCTTGTCGTATAAGAACAGCACTAATAGCAACGTCACTTACACCCAGGTACAAGTACAGAGGTTCATCAGGAAGTGGTTTCTGCAACGTCGGTAACCATGAAAGAACTTCTTTGATGTTGTCAAAAGCATTCTGACATTCTACGGTCCATTCGAACGGCTTCTTCTTTTTGATAGCGTCAAAGAACGGGTTGCAATGATATGTCGACTTTGAAATGAACCAATTTAGAGCTGCCAGTCGACCAGTTAAAGCTTGGACACCCTTAATAGATGTCAGGGGAGCCAAGTCAAGTATGGCTTGAATCTTGGCAGGATTGGCTTCGATCCCTCTCTGACTCACCATGTATCCTAAAAACTTCCCTGATCCAACTCCAAAAGTACACTTCTTAGGATTAAGCACCATAGAATACTCTCGGAGAATGTCAAAGACCTCGGAAAGATGGGCGATGTGATCAGAGGCCTGTTCCGATTTTACTAACACGTCGTCCACGTAAACTTCCATCGTGTGACCGATCAAACGAGCAAACATCTTATTGACCAACCTTTGGTATGTGGCCCCTGCATTCTTCAATCCAAAAGTCATCATGACGTAGCAATAAAGACCTCGGGTTGAGTAGAACGATGTATGTTCAGCATCATCAGGGTGCATGGGAATTTGATTATAGCCGGAATAGGCATCCAAGAAACTCATGAGTTGGTGTCCCGATGTAGCATCTACCATGTAATCAATGTGTGGAATTGGATAGCTATCTTTCGGGCATGCTTGGTTCAAATCAGAGAAATCTATGCACAGACGCCAAAGGCCGGTGGCTTTCTTAACCAAGACAGGATTTGATATCCACGTCGGGTACTTGGCTTCTTTGACGAACTTATTGTCTATGAGTTTGTTTACTTCTTCTTCAAGGGCCTTCTGGCGATCTGGGCCGAATTTCCGACGTTTCTGAATAACAGGCTTGACGGTTTTGTCCAAATTCAAGCGGTGACACGCTTTCTGCGGGTCAATTCCTTTCATGTCCTCATGCTTCCAAGCGAATACGTCGGAATTTTACTGAAGAAACTGAATTAAGCTCGACCGTATAGGCTCTTGAAGGTTAGCTCCAATGCGCAATAATTTTTCCTGAGTCAATCCGTCCACGTAAATAGTTTCGACGTCTTCAACCGGTTCCGCCCGGACATGATGACTTCCATCTTTAAACTGCATCCGTGGATCCATATCTTCGTGTATTCCTATGTCTTTCTCATGAACGTCGGTACCTGCCCGAGGCATGTCGGTATCGGGAGCGAACTGATCAGTTTTTTTCAGCATTAAGAGTTGGGTTGTTCAACCCAATAGAGTTATCAGTATCCTGCTCTTCAATCATATGAAAGTTACGCGAGGTTGAGAGCAACATTAGACTCCGGGCTTCTCGTTGATCTCCGTAATGAGTGCCTTCTCCTTCAATGGTGGGGAACTTCAGGGCATAATGGAAAATTGACACGGCAGCACGAAGTTTGTAAAGTGCAGTTCGCCCTATTACAGCATTATATTCATTCTGGACATCCAAGACTTTGAAAGTCTCCATAATGATCTTGGATTTTGGTCCAAAGCCACCAAACCGAACAGGGAGCAGTATTTCGCCGACAGGGCAGGAAATGCTTCCATTGAAACCTTGAATTTGGTCGTTGCAAGGCCTAATGTCTGCTGGGTCCAAACCCAATTTCTTGAAAGTGCGGAGCATCAAAATACTTGAATAAGCTCCTGTGTCGACCAAAATCCGATGAACAGGAATCTCTCCAATCGGGGCTGTTATAATAAGGGCGTCGGAATGAGGATGAGCAAATAGATTGACATCTTCGATACTGAATGTGATAGGACAATTTCGTTTGTTGATGGTATCTCGAAGATCAACATTCATGACTCGTTTCTCGGCATTTTGTGCCTCTCGGGCATAGGCTTTGACTTTCCGTCGGAAAGTATCCAGCTGTTTGTTATTGGAATTGACCCGAGGTATGCAATGTGAAGAGTCTAAGATGTCATGTGTCCTGGATTTCCTACAGTCATCAGTCGAAGTTCCGACATGAGTAGAAAACGTGAAAACCTCCTTATCATTTGCACGGACTCTTTTCGGGTTAACGGGGCGATTATCATCATCTTCATCATCTGAAAGATCCAAGGGCCTTCCTTTCCGGCGATTATCAAAATTTCGGAACTTTTGAAGCTGAGGTTGTCCAATTAACCGTAAGAGTGCCGACAAAAGACCGAGACACTCATCGGTATTATGTCCCGGAGACTTGTGATATGCACAGTATCGAGTTTTGTCCAGCTTGTCTTCAGGGGTTCTCACGGGTCTCGGGTCTGGAATAATACCTTTTCCTTTCAGTTCTTCATATATAGTGGCTGCCCTGGCTGAATAAACGGCCTGGTATCCTGTCCTGACATTATCTCAATACTGATCACGAGCAGCCCTAGACTCTGGAGTATTTTCATATCCTTTGGAGAAATTCCGAAACTGTGCTTTCCCAAAGTTCTTCTTATTCTTCTTTTTAGCGTCCGATTCAGTCTTGTTTTCTTTCACCGAGAAGTCGAAACTAGGAACCAACATCGATTCCTCGGCAATAATAAACTGTTGAGGTCGTACAAGAAATTCTTGGAAGGTGGCCGGTTTGTTTTGGCACAAGGTCCAACGAAACATCGAGTTGGGCTTTAGTCCAGCGATTGCAGTTACTAACAGGGTCTCTGGGTGACAAGGCTCCATGTTTTGAATTCGGTCGTTGAACCGAGATACGTAGTCCTTAACAGTCTCGTCGTTCTTTTGCACGATGTTAGTAATTGATTCTTTCGGGATGAGACAAATTTGAGCTCCGATAAAGTGCGATTGGAAGGCCGCACGTAACTGTTGCCACTTCCAAATTGAATGAGGTGGGAGAGTATAGTACCATTTTTGTGCTCGTGGCCCCAGTGTAAGCGAAAACATTCGACATCTCAAAGCATCTGAGGCACCATGCAAATCCATCCAAGACGTATAATGGCCCAAGTGTGCATCCGGATCCGATGTTCCATCATACATGCCAATTTGTGGGATTTTTACCTTAGCTGGGAGTGCCTCCACGGTAAGTTCCGGAGCTAAAGGGGAATCAGCTTCAATAATGACATTTCCCGACGTCGAGACATGTCGGGGAGAGTCTTCCTGCGACTTCTGTCGAGTCTCGAGTTCAGCCAAGCGTTTACGAAGAGTTTCAATTTCTTCCGCACTATGTCTTGAAATACGATTCCGTTCAATCTGGCGCCGCAAATCTTCACGACCATGAGGCACTGGTGAAGTAAGTCTAGGACGTGACGGAATTCGCTGATGATGAGCAGAGTGACTTTCAGCAGTCATTTCTTGTACAGGGGGCTCCTCCGGGGCTTGATTGTTTGTTATTGGGTTAGCAGTTATACGAGTTAACTCTTCTCGATGTGGAGAAGTATGGTGAGGTTGTGACGTAGCATGGGATGTCGCCGCATGCGTTTCGGGGTCATGACGAGTATGATTTGGGTGTTCTGTTGGATTGGTAGTTAACGGCATTGATAATGGTACCGTATTCGAGTTACTGGGCATGGCTCGAGCTATCAAAGAGGTTAAACCTTGAATAAACTCCGGGTTTTGAAGAAAGTTCGTGATGTTCGTGACCGGAGGGGGCGGGGTTGAACGCCGCGGAGAATGATTAGTCGATTGGCTCTGGCCAGGGTGAATTGTATGGTCTCGACCAGACTGTGACATGGCGACTTCAAGCGCGAAAATGGCTTTAACAGCGAAAGTTAACCTCAGAACATGATGAGGCCCTTCCTCTAGCGCCAAACTGTTGTTAAACGGGAGTTAACAACTATATAATCGACAGGGATTTATTATAACTTCAAAATGAAACAGCAAAGACTATATGAACAGTGAAATGAGATAGAATATTTTTGATATTATTGTATGCGTCTGTCTCTTCTCTTGTTGGAGAACTTTTGTTTTCCTTTTATATTTATTTACAATATTTATCTAATATGTAATCATTACACGAGAATAGTCAACGGCGGCTAATTGCCATTCATGCTAGTAACATGCCACTTGGCCAGGTGTAATGATGAGTTGTGCTGAGTTGGCACCGCCTCGTGGTGTCGGTTTAGCAAGTCATAGATATCGGCTCGTGTAGTTATAACCGATATGTCATATCCGACATGTAGTAACCGACATATCATAACCGACATGAGATGTCGGTCAGTCGACGACGATGTCGATTCTTGATGAATTTTTACTCGATAAGTGATTGTCTTCAGATTGGTGTCAGAACCTTGAGATCCATAAAGACATTATCTACTTGTACGACTTCAACCATCCTTCTGTTGAACATAACTATCTGATCAACGTCACTTAATTCGGTTTACTGAAAATGATGTCAACACCATTAAATGGTAGTTCTGACCATGCAAACGGAAGACGGGTGGGCCGGTTCCCTTGTTTATGTCAGTATCAATTTTCCCCCCATGGATGTAAAGCAGAATATGTTGTTGTAAGATTGAATATTTCTTGGAAACGCTTCCTCCGTGGACCTGTCCCAAAAATCAGCTCACGCAAAAAGAGGGGAGGAGTGTAAACGGGTGGAAGTTCGATAAATCCTTGGTTGCAGCAACCAGAATACTTTGGGACTTTAGGTTTAGATGGCTTGCCCAATCACTCAGAGTACCAAAATCTCGTGCCACGGTGTAGACAACGAAACGATGCGTCGCCAATAACCTAATATTCTGTGGCATTGTAATTTATAAATAAATTTAAAATCTAATAAAAATTTTATTTATTTACGAAAGCTACAAAATTATGCATAAAAAGACCATAAAATAAATAAAATAGAATTAACAATATCTTCAAAAAATAATTACCAGTGTTGATGGATGAGTGCGACGAACTGGAAGATAATGTGGAACTATTGATGTTAACGGAATGGGGGATTGGGAGCCTCGGACGCTCGACTACATTCGTCCGAGGTGGGAAGCTCAAGGATGATACTGCAGGACATTAGATAACTGGTATAATCATTGAAGATCGGTTTTGCTATGAAGCTAACAGTTGGCTCCATAGTGGAGCCAACCTTCTATATACAACAAATAAATCTACCATTTTAATAAAATTATATTAGTGTTATTTAAATAATAAAAAAAATATGGTAGGTTTATTTGTTGTATATAGAAAGTTGGCTCCACTATGGAGCCAACTGTTGGCTTCATAGCAAAACCGCATTGAAGATATAACATCTAAATATAGATGATTTTTTTTAACAGCAATTAAACTAAACAAATTGATAGTGTTTTTGGAATTACCATTTGGGATGGGTCGTAAGGGGAGTCTCGGACGACCACCTACGTTCTTTCGAGGTGGCAAGTTTGATGATGAAACTGAAAAAATATACGCGAGTTAAACATATATGAGTAACTAAATTTTATTTTGTTACAAAATAAATTAAGTGAGATAATTTGATAATGAATTTAGGATTACCTTTATTGACACGGTTAACTAACGAAGTAGGTGTCGCATTTTCATCGTCCTCAATTGTAAGGTCAATAAAAGGTACCGAACCGCTCGAAGAAGCATTAGCAAGGTAGGATATAGAACTATTTTGAGACGAACGTTGTGAATTTAGGATTGAAAAATCTAAAATAATAGGTTATATAACATTCAATAAAATTAAACATATCAATAACAATATTTCTTATAATGACACAAACAATTAATAATTCTAAAAGATTTACAACAGTTATAAAAATATATACATACTCGGTTCTTGAATGATAGAACAACATTAGTAGGAACTGGTGGTGTTTGGAATGAAGGTGTTACCGTAGATAAATTTGATAATGAACCTACAATAATTAAATTAATTTAGTTGAATTTAAGTTACAACATTTGTAAATTTAATAATGTGAAACTTAATATTTTTAAAAATTGTGAAATAATAAACTGGAACAAACAAAAAAATGAAGTTTATAATATAACAATCATTACTATATATATACATATATGCATTTAATAGTTTTACTTGATTAGATGATAATTTTTTGTACTACAATTATTTGGGGTCAATATTTGTAATAATTATATGTGTATTATATATCATATTAAACATAATTGGGCCAGGAAGTTTAAATGTATGAGTCTAATACAAATTGTTAGAAAAAAAAATGGGCTTTTAATATTATATCATTATAGGTATACTTTGTATTTACTAACATATTAATTGGGCGTTTAAATAAATATGTATAGACCATTTCTGAGCCAAATAATACATTATCGTTGAACTAAAAATGCATGTTTTAAATTGAGACACGTACATAAAATAGGACTTGGTAGTATGACGCGTGTCTTGAGAATGTGCCTTAGCATTTAAATAGTGAAAACCCTAAGCAGGCTTCATTTTCGCCATTTTTCTCGCCTCTCTCAGTTTTTTGTTGTCGATTCTCTCTCACATTTATCTATCTACTATCGACCATTTTTTCGTCGATAATTTCGCCAAAAACGATGTTTCACCGGCGATCCAATTCTGTTTCTAAAGTTGATACTAAAAAAATACCTGATATTCAATTTTATCAGAAAAAAGGGCGGCGACAAATTGAAATCATTTCGATTTCAAAACACCAATGCACTAACTCATTGTATCTCGGAAAAATCGGTCGATTACATGATATATCTTTATAGATCTAGATTTTTTGTATTTTTTTATTGTCTTAAATATTTTTCTATTAAAAGTGTGATTACATAATAGATCTATACAGATCTGAAGTGTTTTTGGTTGATTATGTGATAGATCTTTGAAGATCTACAAATTTTCAGTTTTTAAATTTTTTTAAACATTTTCCTTCGATTAAAATCGTAATAACATCATAGATCTGTAAAGATCTGTACTTTTTTTGTGTTTATTTTTTTTTAAACTTTATATTCTGAGATTCCTTTTTGGGGTTAACTTCTGATGGACGGGTACCACTCGTACTGTGAACTTAAGCGATCGAATGAGACCCATTTTTTTTATATAATAAATCACAGTCGGAAACTAATATAATATTTGTTTACATATATATATATATATATATATATATATGTATATATATTTATTATTTTTTTACACCTATTTTTTGAGATTACCGTGAGGATATATATCGGCATGATCTATTTTTATGTTTTTATGAAAAATTTTAAAAATAAAATTCTAAGAAGATCTACGGAACCGACGATTCCAATAGTAAGTTGAAATTTAATGTTATCTTTTGCAAAAAAATGTTTTTAGAAGAAACTTGCCCTCAAAATAGGTATATATGTACTGTTTTTATGGTTGCAGGTTTGTTTTTGAGCATACTAACATCATGACTAACATTTTATATTTTCTGGTCATTTTCAGGTATCAAGAAGGCGGCCAAATGTGTCCAGACAGACTAACAGATAAGTGTTTTTCAGTTTTAACACATTTCAAAAATTTTAAATAATACTGAAATATACATATGCTCTAACTTGAAGGTCTGTCTATGGAATATTGACCCTCTTAGTGATATATACTCAGATAGTGGTTTTATATGTTTTTACAAAAATTACATCTACAAAACATTGTATATTTCAAATATTCAGATTCTGTTATTAATTATTTTTAAAACTTTGAAGGTTTTGTGTAATATGAACATTATTTCTCAAAAATAAGTGGATGTTAACATTGAAAGTAATATTATATTCTAAATTTCAAGTTCAAATAGACTTAACAACATGACAATCACATGTACAGGTGCATAAAAAGGCTAACTTATGAACAACTTCAACAGAGAAGTAGTTAACATTCAAAA